TGAGGTCTCCGGTAATAACGTGGCCAGCCGGATTATACGTGAATTGGGAACTAGCATAGGTGCAATCAGGAGGTTTAGACTTGAAGTCGTCAATGTTGAGATCCTGCAAAACGTGTTTGTAATTGAAAATTTTAGTTGCAATTGGTTTGGTATAGGTATAAGAAATTATTGGTACAGACTGATCTTTAAAATAAGGAGGTATTTTCGACTGAACTAATTTATGATGAAGGATATTGCCTAAATTGACGCCATCGAGACCTTTGTTGGCAAAGGAAAGTTTAAGAAAAGATCTTTTCTCTTTTTCATCTTTTCCAATGCGAACTGGTTTGAAAAGTCTGTGACTTGCAATATCCGAAATGATAGCTGTAAGTTTGTATTGGTTTGAATGAGGGTTTGTAAAAGTGGTTTCCAAACATAAATTGAACAGAGAATGAAGTTTTGAAAGGGGAAATGAATACAGTTTCGTGCGAATGTGATGAATACCTAATGGCTTTTGTATAAATGGCAGCAAGTCATTAATAGAGACATCATGCAAAGTAGGTGATGTATAATGACGATGACCATGACTGCGTCTACGTCGAGGAGTAGAGTTGAAAATATTCATCACATTCACCGAGCAACAGGAAGGACTAGATAGAATACCTATACCATCAATTTTGTCATTGCAACCATATGGTGTTGCAGTTCCCAATTTCATCCAGTAATGGCTGCAAAACTTGTGAATCCAGTAGTCCTCTTTTTGTCTACGGAGAGGCGTTGCAAGTTGAGGATTGTTAGTCTTGTGGTATATTTTTTCGATTATACGAACTGTCATAGAAACGATGGAATGATCAGGCTGGTTAAAATGCTGGTACAGAATGTCGTTTGCATTGAGGTTGATATCTGATCTATGGCCGCACATACGTTTGTTTAGCCTTACTTTCGTTTCACCGACGTAAACCAATCCACAAAGGTTACACTCTAATCCGTAGACGACATTTATAGATTTACAATTCAGATCATCGTAACTTCTAGTAAAGTAAGACTTTTTAGTTAAATTGCTAGTGAATTGAGCGTCAATTATTAAAATTTCACAAGTTTTGCAGCCATTAGTTCCACATTTCGAAATGAGACAGTGTTGTTCAGAGTCATCAAAATCCAATTGACTATATACTTTTTCAAGAAACTTTTAAAGAATCTATCATTAATATTAGTAAATGTGAATTTACTGGGAATGTATCTGACCACTATCCTTTATTATTGACTCTGGATTTCCAAATAGTTAAGAGTTCAAATAAGAAAACAGAATTTAAGCCTAAAGCGAAAGTTAAATGGGATCAAGCAGACTTGTCCAAGTATACTGAGATAATTAATGAAGGACTTCTTACATCTCTACAAGATATGAAAACAAAAGACGATATCGAAAAAGGTTTTCATGATATAACTGCTGTAATAACTAAAGCCACCAATGTGATCGCACAAAAACCAAAAACTCGAAAGAATAAACCAAAATTACAAGTAATGTCTGATGAAATATTGAAAGCTATTAGGAATAAGAAAACAGCCTTTTATTATTGGAAAGCAAATGGACGTCCAACTGATTGTTTAGATCCTTTTCTATTTGAAAAGAAAATTACAACACAGGAATGGAGAAAGCTATGTAGATTAGAAGCTGCACAAAAACGTATACAAGACAGAAATGAAATTATTGAGGCAAGATCATTAAACAAAACTCTCTTCTATAAACTTATTAACCAGCAACGTGGAAAACAATCGAGACGAATTGATGAGCTAAATGTAGGAGACAAAATTTATAACACTCCGGATCAAATAATGGAAGGATGGAAGAAACATTTTGGTCAATTAGCAGAAAACACCCTTAATGATAATTTTGATACGAACTATCTAAAGATTACAGAAAATGAATATAAAAACATCATTGAACTCTGCAGTGAGCAATTTATACATGTTGATGTAACACAGGAAGAAATATTAAAAGCTACAAACAGTTTGAACCGCAACAAGGCAGCAGATTTCGATGGCATTACAGCGGTAAATATTATCTATGGTGGTGACAATCTAATAACATATTTACAAGCCTTAATCAACAAATCTTTTCAAATGCATTTTATTCCTGATTCACTCAAAATTGGAACCCTCTTTCCGGTATTTAAAAATAAAGGTGACTGTAAAAATGCAAAAAAATACAGATGAATTACTGTAACACCAACATTTTCAAAAGTAATTGAGAAGATACTGAAAATGAGAGAGAACTGTAAAATAATTTTATGTCAAAATCCATTACAAAGAGGTTTCACAGAAACTTCATCACCATTACTTTGTGAACTTATAGTAGAAGAATTTGAAAGAGAGAATAAAGATCTTAAACGTCCCACATATATAGGGCTTTTAGATGCAAAATCAGCCTTCGATGTAGTGGTTCACGCAAACTTGATTAAAAGACTTCATCAATATGGCTTTTCAAATCAATCAATATTAATGATCGACAATCTTTATCAAAATGCAGTTTCACATGTCAAATGGGACAATGGCTTTTCAGAAGATTACTTTAAAATAGAACAAGGTGTTCGGCAAGGTGGACTTATATAAATTATATATAAACCCTCTTTTGAATTTTCTATGTGACTCAGGGCTTGGTTGAAAAATTGTTGTGCCCCAACCTGTGCAGACGATGTTGCATTACTTGCTTGTAACCCTTTAGATATACAAACAATGGTAGATATTGTCGTAGATTTCAGTAAGCGTGAAGGATACCAGCTACAACCTTCAAAAAGCGTTATTTTACCTGTAAAAAAACAGGCTAAAAGTATAGAAACTAATTTAGGATTTTGGAAATTGAATGATACTGTAATGCCAGTAGTGGACAAAGCTACACATATTGGAATACCGAGATCTCAAATCAATTCTGCACAATTAACTGTTGAAGAAAATTTAAAAAAAAACAGAAGAGCTATCTACATATTAATGGGAACTGGTCTGCACGGGGAGAATGGACTTGATCCAGAAACTTCAATTGCACTGTTGAGAACTTATATTCTACCAAGACTAACCTACGGGCTTGAAATTGTGTTACCAAAAGGCAAAATTCTTGACAATTTACAGCTCCAATACAAAAAGTTACTTAAACAAATTCTTTCTTTAAATATTAATTTTGCTGATCCTGATGTTTATTTAATATCTAGATTACTACCCATTGAAGCAGAAATACATCTGAAAATCCTTACAATGTTTGGAAATATTACAAGAGCAAATAAAAACTCATCTGAGTGGAGGCTAGCAGAAAGACAACTACAGATTAAGAACATGGATAGCAACACCTGGTTTATAGATATGAAAAAGATCTGTATCAAATGTGATTTAGAAAACCCATTATCAGTACTTTATAATGGAAGAAAATGACTACAACAGCAGTACATAAATATTGGACAACAAGAATTAACGAAGAAATAATGTATTACTCCAGCATGAAATACATTCCGACATCTTCATATAAAATTGGGAAAATTCATCCTTTGGTCATAGCGAATAGTGCTAATCAAAGAGACATCAACAGAATTCCAATTAGAGTAAAAATTGCAACTGGAACCTATATTCTACAGAAAAATAGAGAAGCTTACAATCAAAACAACGTTGATCCAACATGTAAATTATGTGACCAGGCTGAAGGAACACTAACACATTTTTTGCTGTGTTGTAAAGCCCTAGACCAAATTCGAACACCAGTACTGAAAAACATTATATGTAAATGTAGTGAGCTTCCTGCTTTGCAATTTACTAATACACAGCTAGACATTTTGAAACTAATTATTAACCAATTCCACTATGCTAGCAGTGATGATTTAGAAATTGATAACAGCTGTAAAATAGAACCTCTGTGTAGACAACTAATCTATAACTTACGCAAAAAGAGATATGAAATGCTTGCAAAAATGGACTTGATAAGCAGTAGGAGGAAAATGAACTTTAAAGTCAAATAGATAGGTCGCATAGAGTGTTTGCAGATCGCCTAGACTAAGTCTTAAATAGAATTTTTAAATTTCTACTTTCTAGTATACAGACATTTTTTTATCTTTTACATAAACAATGATAAATAAGTATCTTAATTGAAACTGTGAACTGTTTACATAATGCTTAAAGTGAAAATATATTGGTGGAAGAATATTCATATCCTATTGCGGTGGTGGAACTATTTTATTGTTTTACTCAAAAAACGGAGGTGTGCCTATATTGGCAGAATTTCATTGGATAAAGATACAGATACATGGTGACCAGATTTTTATTGATGGTGTTAAACGCCACTTTCAGCCACTTTGGCTATATCATGGTGACCAGATTTTTATTGTTGGTGTTAAACGCCACTTTCAGCCACTTTGGCTATATCATGGTGACCAGATTTTTATTGTTGGAGAAAACAGCAGTACCTACAGAAAACCATCGACCTTTGGAAGGAAAACTAGCAAAACTTGTTCGTCCAGATTGGAACCAAACACACATAGCCATGAGTAGGGTTCAAACTCATAAACTAGTGGTGACTGAGGACGAACTACTAAGACCACTTGACCATCTAGGAGCCTTGATGTTGATAAGGACAGTTGTTTTCCATTCTTTTGATGTGTTTGAGCTTTTGATTTTGCCATTTGATAAGGACTTTCCGTTTTGAATTTTCCTTGGAGTTCGGTATTTTTATTATTTTACTGTTTACAATGATGATGTATAAAAATGGCAATGAAATTATACAAAAATTAAAAAAAATAAAACCAAAAAAAAATAATAATAGATGAGATTCAATGTTTGTGCTAACTTAACAAATACAGTCAAACCAGCTATTAAGGTCACCCCCATCTATTAAAAGAAACCCTGTCTTGTCAGGTCACCTTTTTCTTGTCCAGATGCAGTAATACCTATGCATTTCAATCCAATTCAAAGGTCAACCCTCTTACATATGAGGTCAGTTTCTGCAAAGGTTTTACTGTGTGTTTGAACAAAAACAAAAAGGGATATACGAAAAATCTATTTATTTAAGAACAAATTAAAGATATAGTATGCACAATCATACTTAACATAAGACAAGGAAACATCATTAGTCAATAAGCATTTTATATAAAATAATTCCTTTTTTTCACAATTATCACAGATATAACATCCTATGTACACTAGCACTTCCTCAGTATTAAATACACTATGAGGTATAAATTATCAAACAAATAAGATACCATTTACTAAAGTAAAATTGGTAAGACCTAATTCAAATATGGCTGAACCTCATTAATATACTGCTAAATACTAATGGATAAAAAATGCTAATAACTGTTTAAACAATTAAACGTACCATAAGAAAACATTCACCTTCAAGTTTTGTAACCTTTAAATAAAAATAAAAGCATTAAGATAAAAGCTTGCCTTACATAAAATAATAAAGTACAATAATTTACACTATTACTTATTATTTGCATGGTTCAAACTCATAATCACTCTTAATAGAGAAATCAAATGGCTAACAGATGTGGCTGGAACATCCATGGTTCACTTTTCTCTTCACATATTCAATCACATATTGATGAATAGTCCATTTGCCCATTGCCCATTTTAATTTGTTATCACTACAATAGTTGCTTCCCTTTGTCAATCCTAGACTGGTTCTATACCAGACAACATTGGCTTCTGCCTTCACGAAGCATGATAAGTTGGAAGTGATATATAGATATTTTAACCAATTCTTAGTGAAAAATAAATACTGGTATCAAAAGTTTTAAGTTTAACAAAAAATGAATGCAATTAAAAGATTTGAAAAACTTAAAGGTTTAACACACATTAGGAACAGATACATTTGCTCTTTCCTCTAGCTCTCCATTGTCACTGAAAATTTCTTTCACTTCTAACCAAGGCATCTAAAAAATGGATGTCTAATTGCAAGGTAAATTTGGGGAATTGGCAAATAGATTGGTGCCAAGGTAATTCAGGGCTTTATGCTAAAATTACTAGGAAATTAATGAAATATAGTAAATCAATTTTAACCTACAGGATGTGTTAATTTCACTTAGTTTTTAAGTTTATATAGGGAAGTCACAATTAAGTGAAAGAAAGAAAACCAAAGATAATTTTGAAATGATATATATGAAGAGGTAGCTTCACTGAATACTTCATGAAATTAAAATTAAAAAAAATAGTCACAGTGCTTGTTTTCTTTCAACATGACAGAATAGGCAAAAATAGAGTAAAATCTGTTATAACAATATATCATTGGAGTTACTTCCCCTTAAACATATCTTTTTTTTTTTTTTTTTTTTAGAAATCATAAGAAAATTTCTGTATATGCTAAAAACTATGACAACACTTTAAGAGATTATCATACAAATAAATTATCTGCATTTTCATATTTAAGTTCACTTCATTAGTAAAAATCAGTGCTGACCATTTGAGCAACCACCAAATTTAAAGTATTCTCAACCACCTTAAGCATTAATACAGCAATATACAAATCATTCATACTGAAATACCTTTGAAAATTACATGCTTTCAACAATATACACCTAATTATACTATTTCCAAATCTATATTGTATTATTTTGATTTGTTAGAATTGTTATGTGTATTCTAGCATTATTTACAGATACTGGATTTGTTTATTATATCATTGTACTTTAAACCTTTTCTCATGACAGTAATCAATTGACTGTCAACAACCTTTTTTTCGTTTAAACGATGAAACAACGTAATCATATAGACAAAACACTAAAATCAAAACCAATTATTGTTAGTATTTTTTTCTGGTGTTTTGCTTTTGCGCCAATTGGCATTTCATTTGCGCCAAAAAAATCTTTCATTTGCACCACAAACCATATTTCATTGCGCCAAAAATAAAACATTTCATTTGCGCCTATACAACTGGTAAATACAGATAAATAATATAAAAAAATAGATTTATTGAAAAGAGACTTTTAATAATTACTTTAAAACACAGTTTTTGTTTGCATAATAACACATATTCATCAGAAATATATTGTAAAAGCAATAGTGTATCGTATTTGGCAAGAGAATTTTCTTGTAGTTCTCTGCGTATTACATTTGATGGTCCTTTAGAAATGTCACCAGATGCTTTTTCGAATTTTGATTCTGAGTTGTTGTGATTCACGATATATCAATGACTATTCAAACTTTTCCGGTATATGTTACCTGCAAAATGGTGCAAATATAGTTTTTACTTTTTGGCGCAAATGAAATATAACCTTGTGCCACAAATGAAAGATTGGATTTTGCAAAAATTGGCCCAAATGCAATGCGCCCATTTTTTTCCACTATCTGCATCTTGGTGCAAGATCATACATTAACTATGTGATATTATATAAAAACTATACATCTGAAATGAAGGTAAATATGTGGTATAAATTCTCTGTTAGCACTAAACAGGAGCCTGTTGAAATTAAAATAGTACATCATATGGTTATACTATCATAACTACAATATACCATCTGATTAAATACGGCATCCAGTGACATGTAAATATTCCTTTCATTCTATCTAAGAAAAAGCTACCACTTAAATATAAAACATTGTCTGAGTTCACAGGTTTAACTTTCTCTCAACCTCCTCCTTATATATTTCTATAATTCCATTTTATTATATTATTCTTTTACATTGCTTGAAGTGCAATACTATGATTCAAATAAAACCTGATATTTCACCTGTTATACATTCTGTAGTTTTACTTGTCTGACATCTTACAACACTAGACGATGTCAAAAGAGTTGCATCAAAACTAAGTGACAACACATGGAAAAAGTGTAATCTTATTTGATTAATTCCAGTAAACACACAAAATCAATGAGTCAGATGTCAATTTGTTCCAATATCTAATTTAGAACTAGTTACATTTTCAGAATTAGTGTTTACAGTAGCACAATGTTTACTAATATACGTGTAATATAATTTAAAGGTGTTTCCATTTAATTATCTGATTATCATCATGGGATGGCAGAAAACAATGGATGGCTGTTATTCACATTATGCAGTTATTTAAAGAAAAAAAAATTTCCATTATAAGATTGACATAACAATGTACTCATTAAATGAGAAAAGTATTATGCATTGAATCCAGTATATCATCTCCTACATTTGTATATTTTTAAGGATTCATAGGTTTTTTTTTCATTCTTTTACTAATGATTTATATATAATTACTCACTAACTAAAATTTTAATTTATCTTAAAAAAATTACAATACCACACAGTTATAAAATTTCTCTACTAAATTAAAATCACATCTATATCTTTAGCTAAGAGCTTTAACTTTTTTTAAAGTCACATACTATATAAGTAGTCATTTTTGTGGTGTATGAATTTTCTCTTGCAATTAACCCAGAAACACGTAAATAGAAACCCACTAAAACTTAGATTATTAATAGAATACTGATTTAAAACCAAACTAATAAATACTTAAATGCTGTCACAAATATTTCTTTGTTAATAGTATATTGTCTATAATATAAAAATATCACACAAGTCAAAGCTGAGGGACAGAAGTTAACTTACAATAATATAATATAGCTTTTCTTTGACAGGAAGGTTACTTATGAATTGCAATCATGTTTTTAACAGGTATATATATATATATATATATTACTTATTCCTCTCATCAGTAGAAATATGGACAGAGCTGTTTAATTCTCAAACTTAAACACTTGTCCACTATGACATCTTAGGGCTTATGTAAAGCATGTCATAGTAACAATAAAGAAAAATTAAATAATTAAATTGGAATAATACATTCATGGGCTTTAGTCAAAGAACTATTCCAAAGACTTCTCTTTAGAGGAAAACATTCCCTAAATCAATTCTCCTAGTACATATAACACTGTTCTACCAATGTTAACTTAATGAAGTACAATTTCAAAGTGCAACAACTATTTTAGAATATAAATTAACATTTCCAAATATCCAGTTGAATAAGTGTGAAGCTCCATCCTACATATATACCAAGGACAAGCATCACCTATAATGTATGGCATCTCATGAAATACATCATTATTATCATTGTTCAATCCCATGGTCAGACTTGCTATTTCATACAATAGGTTTCCTTTCATACATAAATGACTAATATTTGACACATATTTCACAGCCTGAGAGGTTAGTTTTCCCATCATGCATCTGTCTGTCCAGATCCACTCTTTAGTTTATCCAAATTATATTCAAAATTCTTACAATAAAACAACTGAACTCCAGTCATAGCAAACTTCTCTGGTGTCAAAAGTTTTATCAACTTTTCCTGAAAGTAAATAATATTGGATGAATTATTTTTAATATTGTTTTTACTGATATGATTTAAATTGTTCTACAATGGCCATTTTTTTTTCGTTAACAAAAACTGACTAAAACTAATATCTTGTATGACTATACGATTTTACACTGGTCGATTCATCACATTAGCAAGTAAACCAACTAAAACTTACATCATATATTTTTATAAGATTTTACACTGGCAATTTAGTCACATAAACAAGTACTGACAAAATGTAAATCATGTAAGACTATATTGTTTTAGATATGCAACAAAAAAATAGAATCCATTGAACCTTTGTTTATCAATATTGCCATATTGATTACAATATTAATTCTTCAAGATACATTAAATTTTTAAACTTTTTAAGATGTGTAAATTTAACTATTGTAGTCAACAGGGTAAAGTGGTAGAATCTGTTTCTCTCGTAATAAAATGGAAAAGGCGGAGTGCAATGTTCCAAATGGATATTGCAGGAAATTACAAGAGACAACATGTGGTTTATCAAAATTATCAAACTGGTCAAAACAGGTTTAATTGCATTCAAATCTATGTAAAAATACTATATTTGAGTTTTCTTCAGTAGATCATACATCAAATCTTTCTGTTACTAGATTAAAATTACCTCTAATTCCATATTGTCATCTGTAGCATCTAACAGGTCATAGGCTCTCCTAAACATGGGAAATCCTAATACTTTACAACAGTGCCTGTCAATTAAAAATATCAATCCTTTCATAAAAGGTCTGTACGGAAATTCAGGAAAATCTATCAGCTATATTTCAGATCTATAAATTTTCTTCATTTTTTGCAGATTTTTTATTTGACTAAAAATATCACAAATAATCAGAATTTCAATGTGAGAGTTGTAAGGAACTTATCAGAAATGTTCATAGCATGAACTAATTTCATAATTAACTTTTTTGGTTGTAATAAACATATCTTATTTGGTAAATAACATTTTTTTCAAAGTCTTACAACATGTAAAAAGGAAAAAATACATGAAATTTAAATTAAATAGCAAAAATGTTTTCCTTATTTGTGACTTGCCTACATAAATCTATCAGTACAAATAATCCTACAAGGCAAGAAATATTTAGCCTAAGGAACCTACAGTGTAGGGCGAGAAAAAAAAATTTAAGCAGATTCTAGATTTCTTTTCTTTTGATTTGAGACCCAAATAATACCAATGCAAATATAAGGTAAAAGTCCGCATCAGCCTTTTGCCGCCATTTTTAAAAAATCAAATATCTCAAAAAGGAGCTCCATAACCTATCAATATTTCTAGCTTATTTTGTTCCTCTGACTTATAGTATCAATTTTAATTTCACCTAAGTACAGCCTTAACTTCTAATTATGGATTTCAAAAATGACTTTTCGATGGATGATCTGTTGCCAGATTAAAAAGGCAGATTTCACTGCATAAAACAACTTACGCTTGAAGCATAGCTATCTGATGTAAAAGTAGTTCTTCAGGTGTCATTTTAGAGGTGTCTGTAAAACATAATCACATACAAAATTAGGACTCATAGACTTATCTACTTAATTCAATATATGCTTTTATTGTTAGTGATTGTCTTGTGTCATTTATTATCGGCTTATGTGTTATTTTGATAATTTGGTGTTGATGGCATTTCTGTTTAATTTATTCACAACTTTTTCTTATTGACGTATATCCAAAATCTTCTTTTATTCATATTTTTACAGTATGACTGCAATATTACAATGCCTATTTCTGGTGGCAGCATTATCAGGATGTCCATTTCTGGTGGCAGTATTATCAAGCTGCTCCTTTCTGGTAGCAGCATTATCAGGATTTCCATTCCTGGTGGCAGCATTATTAGGAAATTGGAGTTTCAAATGCCAAAATACAGTATGAAGGAATGCCTTATATAATTTCAATAAATGTGGATAGTGGCCACATGTGGACACAGTTGATGCCCCCGCTTGCATATCACATAGTTATAAAGGGACATAAATGAAGAACAATAAAAGTGACGCTACCCAAATTTGAACTTGATCTGAGTTTTGTGGTAATAAGCATTGTGAGTAAGTCTCATAACATTTGGTTGAGGCTAACTTAAGTAGAGAACAGAAACTAAAAATTCACCAATTTTTTTATTTGTAAACACGCATAACTCTAGAACGGTTGTGTGTAAGTTTTATAACATTTGGTTGAGACAAACTAAAAAATTCAGCAATTTTTATGTTTATAAAGGGACATAACTCAAGAATGGTAAAAGTGTCGCCACCAAATTTCGTACTTAATCTGTATTATGTAGTAATAAGCATAGTGTATAAGTTTCATAACATTTGGTTGAGGCAAACTAAAGTTAGAAAACGGAAACAAAAAATGTGTACTTGATCTTAGTTTTGTGGTAATGAATATTGTGTATAGGTTTCATAATGTTTGGTTGGGGCAAACTTAAGTTACAGAATGGAAACTAAAAATTTTGCAATCTTTTGAATTTTAAAGGGGCATAACTCAATAATGGTTAAAGTGACACTACCCAAATTCAACTTGATCTGCGTTTTATCACTGGAAGTCAAAATTAAATATTGCATTGTATAAAGCATTTATTGTAGTTGATTCAACTATAATCATGGACAAAGGAAGATAACTCCAATTTTAAAATTAGAAGAAAATAAAAATTTTGCAATTTTTCCATTTATAAAGGGCCATAACTCTAGAACAGTTAAAGTGACGCCACCAAAATTAAAACTTGATCTGTGTTTTGTGGTAATAAGCATTGTGTATAAGTTTCATAACATTTGGTTTAGGCAAACTTAAGTTAGAGAACGGAAACTAAAAATTTTGCAATTTTTCCATTTATAAAGGGCATTACTCTAGAACGGTTAAAGTGACGCCACCAAAATTCACACTTGATCTGTGTTTTGTTGTAATAAGCATTGTGTATAAGTTTCATAACATTTGGTTGAGGCAAACTTAAGTTAGAGAATGGAAACCAATTTTGGGACGTACGGACGTACGTACCTACGTACGGACAAGGGTAAAACTTAATGCCCCCACCGCTATGGAGGGGGCATAAAAATTAACTGCTGTAACTCCATACAAATATTAGGCAAACAGAAACATAACTTGTTTTCCTATTTCTACCTATATCTTGACTTTTAATTATCATCTCAAGCAGATATCTTGGAAATATATGTTATGAATTATTAATGAAATATCAATGTTCAATTTAAAAATGTTACTTGTGTACTTGACAAATTAGAAAAATAACCAGCATGTCCCATATACTATGCATTTCCAGTGATAATAGTTAGTGTATAGACAACAAACCAGTCCTTATAATCTGAACAAAGAAAATTACCTGCAGCATTCAATGCTATAGGATTAGTGTCTACTTCACCATCTTCTCCCTAAAAAGGAAGTATTTTTACATAATTATCACAAATAAATTAGAAATCTTTGGACTGGAATTCTGATTAGACAAGGTCTACGTAGTTTATAGGAGAGAGTTTTACTAAGAATATTTTTTTTAAATTTGGGAAAAGAAAAACAGTTTAATAAGGTACTGATTTTACAGGTTTTACTGTATTTTGATTTGATAGAGTGAGAAAATAATAAATGATTTATACTTATTCACTGTTGTTCCTTCAACCATGAGGATAGACTTTCACTGATAAGTATCATTTAAATCTACACAATTTCCAATTTATAAACAAGTTCAGAAAAGAAGACATTATTTTTTTGAATTAATAGATATTTCCATCTATACTACTAAAATAACGAGGTGCAAGTTGTTAGCCGGCATGATGTAAAAATGATGAATCAAAGAATTCAACTTTATATATTACTAATACAGGACAATGGTGTTGTTTAAAAATGACACCATTTCAGGCCCTTTTGTTTTCCACATAATTAATATTACCAATAATTAACAAGTTCTGTGTCGAATCTGATACTGATACCAATAGTATATGTCAAATGTAGTTTTCTGTTATAGTTACCTGTTACCTTTTGTAAATCCCTCCTCTATCAGGAGAACCTGGAATTCTTCCAGTGGTTATTATAATATATCTATGTTACACTATAGAACTATTTTAATAAAAATTCTGTTTTCTTACACCTAAATACCACTATTAATTTTGGTTAATTAGTTAAAATATCAAATTTAGTTTATAGTATAAAGTTTATTGTAGCAAGAAAACCAGGACAGGTTCAAACGGAAAGATTTTGAAAGCAGAGAAAACTGTGCACCTTACAAACAGCATGACTTTATCAGATGACAATACAAATACTAAAAATCCAAGCTAAAAATAAGGCATAGGGTACATTGTACTTTAATTCAGTCATGGACCCGCGATGTCGAGGGTGTCTTCTAGTTTTAGTACAATAATGTGCACTTATATAAAGCAAGCAAACATTAAAGAAAAAAATGTCATATATAAATTGGGTTGAATAGGAATCAAACTTGCAAAAACATGTGCACATTTAATAAAAAAATTCGTAAGGGTTCCGCGGAACCCAGTGTCTCGCCTACTTTTGCTGTTAATCGCAGGCTCAACAAAAATGAGGAAAAAAATAAATAAAAATATTCCTCTCTATACTATCTTTTGATTGTTAGTAGCTTCTGTCCAAGTTTGGTAAAAATCCAGGATAGTTTATGAATCTAATAAATGTTTAAAAACTTAAACTGCAGACTGTATGTAATGTTAACTGGAAGAAAAACAAAGTCTATTTATAAGTAAAATACGGAAAAAATCAAACAAAATTTTAACAAAATTTCCTTCTAGATACTAGCTTTTAATCATAAACAAGCTTCTGTCCAAGTTTGGTACAAATCCAGGATAGTTTAAGAAAGTTGTTAAAATTTTAAAACTTTAACCACTGAGTGAATGTAATGTTAACTGGCAGAAAAACTAAGTCCATTTATAAGTAAAATACGGAAAAAATGGATTTTTTTTTTTACAAAATTTACTTCTGGATACTATCTTATGATCATAAACAAGCTTCTTTCCATGTTTGGTAGAAATCCAGGATAGTTTAAGAAAGTTATTAAAATTTCAAAAACTTCAACCACAGAGTGAATGTAATGTTTCTTGGCAGAAAAACTAAGTCCAATTATAAGTAAAATAAGGAAAAAATGGATTTTTTTTTTACACAATTTACTTCTGGATACTATCTTATGATCATAAACAAGCTTCTGTCCAAGTTTGGTAGAAATCCAGGATAGTTTAAGAAAGTTATTAAAATTTCAAAAACTTTAACCACAGAGTGAATGTAATGTTTCTTGGCAGAAAAAACTAAGTCCATTTATAAGTAAAATACGGAAAAAAATGGAATTTTTTTTTTACAAAATTTACTTTTGAATATTATCTTATGATCATAAACAAGCTTCTGTCAAAGTTTGGTAGAAATCCAGGATAGTTTAAGAAAGTTATTAAAATTTCAAAAACTTTAACCACAGAGTGAATATTTGTGGACGCCGCCGCCGCCGCCGACGACGACGACGACGACGACGACGCCGACGGAATGTAGGATCGCTATGTCTCGCTTTTTCGACAAAAGTCGAAGGCTCGACAATAAAATAACATGTTATTGTTTAATACTTACCTTTAGAAATATCTGTGTCAAGGTGTGTACAACTAAATTCACCTTGTGTCTTACCTATGGAAATATCTGTGTCAAGGTGTGTACGACTGAATTCACCATGTGTAATACCTTTGAAAATATCTGTGTCAAGGTGTGTACCACTAAATTCACCATATGTCTTACTTATGGAAATATCTGTGTAAAGGTGTGTACGACTAAATTCACCAAATACTTACCTTTGGAAATATCTGTGTCAAGGTGTGTGCGACAAATTTCACCAAATACTTACCTTTGGAAATAACTGTGTCAAGGTGTGTACGACTAAATTCCCCAAATACTTACCTTTCGAAATATCTTTGTCAAGATGTGTTAGACTAAATTCATCATGTGTCTTACCTTTGGAAATATCTGTGTCAAGGTGTGTACCACTAAATTCCCCAAATATTTACCTTTGAAAATATCTGTGTCAAGATGTGTTAGACTAAATTCATCATGTGTCTTACCTTTGGAAATATCTGTGTCAAGGTGTGTACCACTAAATTCCCCAAATACTTACCTTTGGAAATATCTGTGTCAAGGTGTGTGCGACAAATTTCACCAAATACTTACCTTTGGAAATAACTGTGTCAAGGTGTGTACGACTAAATTCCCCAAATACTTACCTTTCGAAATATCTTTGTCAAGATGTGTTAGACTAAATTCATCATGTGTCTTACCTTTGGAAATATCTGTGTCAAGGTGTGTACCACTAAATTCCCCAAATATTTACCTTTGAAAATATCTGTGTCAAGATGTGTTAGACTAAATTCATCATGTGTCTTACCTTTGGAAATATCTGTGTCAAGGTGTGTACCACTAAATTCCCCAAATACTTACCTTTGGAAATATCTGTGTCAAGGTGTGTACAACTAAATTCACCAAATACTTACCTTTGGAAATATCTGTTTCAAGGTGTGTACCACTAAATTCCCCAAATACTTACCTTTGGAAATATCTGTGTCAAGGTGTGTACAACTAAATTCCCCAAATACTTACCTTTGGAAATATCTGTGTCAAGGTGTGTACCACTAAATTCCCCAAATACTTACCTTTGGAAATATCTGTGTCAAGGTGTGTACAACTAAATTCACCAAATACTTACCTTTGGAAATATCTGTTTCAAGGTGTGTACCACTAAATTCACCACATACTTACCTTTGGAAATATCTGAGTCAAGGTGTGTACAACTAAATTCCCCAAATACTTACCTTTGGAAATATCTGTGTCAAGGTGTGTACGACTTAATGCACCAAATACTTACCTTTGGAAATATCTGTGTCAAGGTGTGTACGACTAAATTCACCATATGTCTTGGATCTATAGGTCTCAGTGCTTCATCCTGTTTTAGTGTATCCTCAAAATCTACACCTATATCATCTGTGTTTGCTGGTTTCTTTTTCTGCATAAAACTCAAACTTTTTAATGTTTTATCTTTATCATAATTTTTCTTATTCTCAGTAATTGTCTCCTCCATGATATTCTCTACCCCTTTAGTAGAAGCTGCCCATACACTGCGGGCATATTTTTGTTGTTTGTCATTCAATGTTCCTACTAATTCTTTCATATCAAAAGCATCTTTTTTCTTTGCTGTTCCTTGCATTATGATGCTTTCAAATCCTGCTTTGGACATGGTTGAGGCAAACTGGCTTTTCTGTGGGAGCACTGCGGGAGGGGTCTGCAAAACAGAAAAAATATAATATATACATTCAAAAATTAACAAATTAAACTTTAAAATTTTAGAACTGTATATCGTAGTGTGAAAGAATGATATGTTGGACACATTTAAAAATTCTAAGAATAACATATAAATATGTATTTACTAAGGAAATATATTAGACAGCAACCAGACAAAACTTTAACATCATCATCATGTGAACAAAAATCATGATTCCACTTTTTGGTTTATTTCCTTTAGCATAGTAGAAACAAAACAAATGCTGTATCTGCAATTATTATCATCAAACTATTTTTTCATTAAGACTGCACACATCATTTTCTCTATTATTCAAAAACTTAAACATAAATTCATATCATTAAAAAGGAGACAGATTTGTAAAAGCAAAAATGCTTGTTTCTGAATCCTAAATACTTATTGCAATTGTATTATATCGTCATGTGATGATTTATCTGAGAATAAATATTGCTTAAACTAAAATGCTTCCCTCTAGTTATGTTTTTTTTTGTTGGGTAGATGCGTAATTCCCACATCTACCTTTATTCATGGTCTTGTGTCTTTGGTATGTTTATCTTGTGTCTGGTATGTTTATCTTGTGCCTCTGGTATGTTTATCTTGTGTCTGGTATGTTTATCTTGTGTCTGGTATGTTTATATTGTGCCTCTGGTATGTTTATCTTGTGCCTCTGGTATGTTTATCTTGTGTCTGGTATGTTTATCTTGTGTCTCTGGTATGTTTATCTTGTGTCTGGTATGTTTATCTTGTGCCTGGTATGTTTATCTTGTGCCTTTGGTATGTTTATCTTGTGCCTTTGGTATGTTTATCTTCTGTCTGGTATGTTTATCTTGTGCCTTTGGTATGTTTATCTTGTGTCTGGTATGATTATCTTGTGTCTGGTATGTTTATCTTGTGCCTCTGGTATGTTTATCTTGTTATGTTTATCTTGTGCCTGGTATGTTTATCTTGTGCCTCTGGTATGTTTATCTTCTGCCTATGGTATGTTTATCTTCTGCCTATGGTATGTTTATCTTGTGCCTTTGGTATGTTTATCTTGTGCCTGGCATGTTTATCTTGTGAATCTGGTATGTTTATCTTGTGTCTTTGGTATGTTTATCTTGTGTCTTTGGTATGTTTATCTTGTGTCTTTGATATGTTTATCTTGTGTCTGGTATGTTTATCTTGTGCCTCTGGTATGTTTATCTTGTGTCTGGTATGTTTATCTTGTGTCTGGTATGTTTATCTTGTGTCTTTGGTATGTTTATCTTGTGTCTGGTATGTTTATCTTGTGCCTTTGGTATGTTTATCTTGTGCCACTGGTATGTTTATCTTGTGCCTCTGGTATGTTTATCTTGTGTCTCTGGTATGTTTATCTTGTGCCTTTGGTATGTTTATCTTGTGCCTCTGGTATGTTTATCTTGTGCCTGGTATGTTTATCTTGTGTCTGGTATGTTTATGTTGTGCCTCTTGTATGTTTATCTTGCCTCTTGTATGTTTATCTTGTGTCTGGTATGTTTATCTTGTGCCTCTGGTATGTTTATCTTGTGTCTGGTATGTTTATCTTGTGCCTCTTGTATGTTTATCTTGTGTCGGGTATGTTTATCTTGTGTCTGGCATGTTTATCTTGTGCCTTTGGTATGTTTATCTTGTGCCTTTGGTATGTTTATCTTGTGTCTGGTATGTTTATCTTGTGCCTGGTATGTTCATCATGTGTCTGGTATGTTTATCTTGTGTCTGGTATGTTTATCATGTGTCTGGTATGTTTATCTTGTGCCTCTGGTATGTTTATCTTGTGTCTGGTATGTTTATCTTGTGTCTGGTATGTTTATCTTGTGCCTTTGGTATGTTTATCTTGTGCCTTTGGTATGGTATGTTTATCTTGTGTCTGGTATGTTTATCTTGTGTCTGGTATGTTTATCTTGTGTCTGGTATGTTTGTCTGGTATGTTTATCTTGTGTCTGGTATGTTTATCTTGTGCCTCTGGTATGTTTATCTTGTGTCTGGTATGTTTATCTTGTGCCTTTGGTATGGTATGTTTATCTTGTGTCTGGTATGTTTATCTTGTGTCTGGTATGTTTGTCTGGTATGTTTGTCTTGTGCCTTTGGTATGTTTATCTTGTGCCTTTGGTATGTTTATCTTGTGCCTCTGGTATGTTTATCTTGTGCCTCTGGTATGTTTATCTTGTGTCTGGTATGTTTATCTTGTGCCTCGGGTATGTTTATCTTGTGCCTCTGGTATGTTTATCTTGCGCCTTTGGTATGTTTATCTTGTGCCTTTGGTATGTATATCTTGTCTCTGGTATGTTTATCTTGTGTCTTTGGTATGTTTATCTTGTGTCTGGTATGTTTATCTTGTGTCTGGTATGTTTATCTTGTGTCTGGTATGTTTGTCTTGTGCCTCTGGTATGTTTATCTTGTGTCTGGTATGTTTATCTTGTGTTTATGTTTATCTTACCTTTGGTTTCTTAAATGTTGTAAACAGGGAATCAGATAAAACATCATCAGCAGAGGGTCTGGTTTTGGAATCTTTACACATCATTTTCTCTAACAGACTACAAAACTGGGCACTGTATTTATCTTTTGGCATTGGAGGTAGCTGAAATTCAAAAGTGCGATATAATTACAATAGATGCATCCTCTTTCAATAACCAATTATTATATATATATATATATAAACATCTGTACTTAAAACTACAGATTTATAAAAAATGTAAGAGTGAACTTCATTTAATATGAAAAACAAACATATTTTTTACTATTAAATCCCCTTTGAACAAAATTCAATGATCTTCCCAGTTGTAAATGAATATTATTAGAACAGTTGAAGTTTATAAACATGTATTATAAAGAATAACTGTTACCAATAATTATTTGACTCGTATTTATACATTTTGGACTGTTTTTCTGTATTTAAACTTCATATTTAAACAATGAATGCTTAACTTGGTGAACTATAGGTTTTGCAGAAGTATGAACAGCTCACCTGGTGATGATGGGAACATGAATTCCTCACCTGACATCGATGTAAAACACTAAATCAATCTAAGTTCCAGTAATGTAAGCCTATGTTCTCTGGACATAGAGTCTGGAGGCTGGTAGCAAAATTGGATATAACATTGAAACAGATGCATTTGTAATGATTCAATGACAGAGTCATGATACTTGGAGAATATAAGTGTATCTAAGTATCAAAAAAACTTTAATCAAAAATTTAAGTCTTTGTTTTGTTGGACTGTATGTTGACCTCTGTATGTCTTAGTTTGGATATCAATATTTGTGTTGATGGGTTTCTGTTTCATTGATGTATACCCCACATAGCATTTTTTACACTATTAATAATATAATTACCTCTCCATGTACAATTTTAAACACAAGCTGTTGCATCAACATAGCATCAAATGGTCTTTCTAATGTTGACATTTCATATATAACTACACCCATTGCCCAAATGTCACTCTGAAAAAAATAGTCTTAAGTAGCTAAAGTGATTTTAAGTTAAAACATAGATTACTAAAAGGAAGAAGAAAAATACTATTTTGTTTAAGTGGAATAATTTTCATGTACTGTGGATTCATTAATATTCGTTGGATACCAATTTTCGTGGATTTCGTGGGTACAGGGGAACCACGAATTTAAATGTTCAACGAATTACAAATTTCCTAAAGGAAATATGCAGACTTTGCCGAAACCACGAAATTAAATATCCACGAAAATGCAAGTTTTCTTCAATCCACGAAAATTGGTACCCACGAAAATAAATGAATCTACAGTACTTGTTTTCAAAGACTTATCACAAATACGGCATCTTATTAAATAGATTTTAATGTCATTCTAAAACACAAAACCTTACCTTTGTATCGTAAGGTTTACAAGCAAATATTTCTGGTGACATATAATAAGGACTTCCACAAAATGTAACAGCTTTGGCATTAGGTCTTTCTAAGACTCTGTGAAGAAACAAAGTAAATAATTAGATAAATTTGGCATACATACCTTATATTGCTGCTCCAATCCAACTTATATCGTCCTGAACATGAATGAAATACTTGCAACTGGACTTTAAGCAACCAACAATCAATCAACCAATCAACTTACCAGAAGCAAATTGAAGTCATGAAATGTTTTTTTTCTATTTAGTATTAGCAGTTACCTTGTTTATAATGATATAGATGTGCTAACCCCCCTTCAAAACCATCAATCAACCCCAACTCAATTTGTGTGTGATTTTTTCCAAAATTTTGTTTATAATTGAAGCATGTTGAATTGAATATCCCATTTCCTTTTGATTTCGCTAAATTAAATGGCAGTATATTTGTCACACAGCTATTATCTCCTTACATTAAACCCTATACAATTTACTGCCATATACAAATTTATTGATGATCAAATATTAATCAGTCTTCATTTGCCTGGAATTTTATGCCCCTGCAGTAGATTGCAAGTGCTTAAATATACAACATGTGTGTTTTCTTTTGCAAATACTATCAAATACAGGTAACCGATTTTATGACATATGTGTTTTTTTATGTAGTTTGCGAAAACAAAGCATTCAATTTTTATGCCTTAATATCGTATGCCCTTAATTGGCTCAAAACTATCTCTAAAACCTATTATTGTTTCATGGGCTGAAGTCATTCTCAAACTATTATCATTGTTTTGATAGGCTTAAGTCCCTTAAGTGTTTTTAATAGGCTGGAGTCCCTTAAGTGTTTTTAATAGGCTGAAATCCCTCACAAACTCTTTCAGTGTTTTTTATAGGCTGAAGTCCCTCCCAAACTCCTTTGGTGTTAATAGGTTGGAGTTATTCAACAGTTAGACATTGATCAACTAGCAGTGAACCCAAAGAATTACCAAAGCAGATAGATGTACAAACACTCATAAAAGATCAATACCAACATTTAACACTTGAAAATAAATATTTGGGCAATTCAAATTATAAGAAGATTGGTATGATGTAATGGTACTATGTAATTAAAGAGGAAGCATAACCCTACCTAGTATAAAACTTCTGCCAACAGTAAAATGGGGCATGAAATAAAGAATTATTAAACTAGTCTTTCAATAAATAATTTCTTGTTTAAGGCACACTGGTAATGTTAAATTTGGAAGAAGATGGAAATGTAAAATCCTATGTGGCCTGTATTTGGCAATTTTTGCATCGATAAATACAAGCCAATCAGGATAAAAAAAATCTTTAAAAATTGTTCAAGAGTAGAAGATAATGTATAAAGTGAAAGTACGGTGGAATCAGTGTGGTGGTATAGTGCTAACATTGGGTCAATTAAGTAAAGTCAGCTCAAAAATTAAATCAAATAATGAAATAGAAAAATGGTGACAAAATTGAAAACAGATTTAGTCTCTGATGCATGATTTTTTATTGTTAATTATTTTTGGCTTTTAACTAGCTTTCAGTAACTGTGAGTACCCTCAAATCGTACTTTCGTGTTAATTTGACCTGTTGACACAATTTGTAATGCATTTCTGTAATTCAATGTTTACTTATTTTGTGTTATATCCCATCTCACTATTTTTAATATGTACCACCTTTGATAAGTATTCAGTATAACGATAAATTTTCACTTCTGTACTTGTACTCTGAACAACAAATTTATTAATTTTGTAAAAAATATTTACTTCCGTACTCCTAACAACAAAATTATCATTTTAAATTTTCCTGCGTACGTTGTTTTATCCCAGGTAAGAGTTGTCTTATTGACACTCTTCCTACATCTTTTTTGTTACTACCTGTAACTTCTATGTTATATAGGCACCTACGTTTTAATGTTGTATTTATATTGTGTCATAGATCAAACTTATTCGTTCAGTGTATGTTTACTTGTTTTTGTTTAAATGTCTTTGTGATTGAGTTAAGCCATTTCAATTGATATTTTATAGTGTGTCTTTTTATGTTGCATAGATGTCAACCCTGTTGTGGTGCAATCAGTAAAAAGGTATTAAAATTTCTGTAATTTGTGTCTGTTTTCAGTAATAATATTTACTTCATAAAATGTATAATAATCATATGAACAACTAGGCACACAATGATATGATTGATTGATTATTGGTTGCTTAACATCCAGTGGCAAATATTTCATGCATGTTCAGGACGAGAACAAATAAACAATAAATGACACTCTTACTAATTTAACGTCCCCATTCTGACCGGACGTGGCTGCATACTTGTACATCCAGCACAGCCAAACGGACACCCTACTTTGACAAGGGTTTTACTGCCTATTGGAAGAAGACCTGTATTGAACATTTTTCTATTCCACAGTCACCCTTTGGGATGACACTCAGTGACAAATAAATAATTTCCTTTATCTATCAGAACTATGATTCAGAGTTGATGAGCAAGTGAGGAACACTGACCATCGCGTTAAATGGATGTCTTGTTCATCATATATGCAAAAGGCATAATGTTCCAGTTTCCTAGTTTTCTTTCCTTGCTTCAGAAATTTAATTGTTTCAGTAGACATTGTAAAATTGAAAACAAAGACTTGTTTTCTCATTGGCACTCATACCACATCTTCTCATTTATACTAAAAATGTTTCTTCTACTTCATTTATTGCTTTAATCAAACCATCCCAATATTTTTTTCAAATTAACAAAGGGGAGGTAATTATTTTTTTTTTTTATCTATATATATTTTGCTTGCATTTAGTTACACGGCACAATATATTTTAACAAATTTTATAAAACATGTCATATGTATAATGTTAAAAAACATACTTTGCTAATCCTAAATCGCCTAACTTTGCAATTTTCTTTGGTCCTGTCAAGAAAACATTCTGTGTCTTTATGTCTCTATGTAAACAATTTCTACCATGAAGATACTGAAAAACAAACAACAACAACAAAATAATGTAATTTGTGCATTTTGACAATCTTTACTGGTGAAGGACATAATTAAAATCCATATTGAGAGCAATAAAAAAAAAATATGTTTAGATTGTCAAAGGGGAGGTTTTTTTGCACTAAAAACTGGTTTAACCACATATATTACTTGCCTGTACCAAGTCAGCTATAATGGATCAAGTCCTGTTTATCTTTGTTTGTACATTTATTTTCTCATACAAATGAATAAAAAATGTATATGGGATATATATCAAGGTATATGTTAAAAACAATAAATCAATGTGGTATGTATATAAAAATATGGAGATTTGCTATGATTGACAATGAGAAAACAACCCATCAGTTACCAAAAAATGAGTATCTGCTAGCATTTTTTAAATTTATTTTATAATTGTTCACTGTTTCTTTATTCAACTAAAATATCTGAACCATAAAATAACTTTCAAATACTGATTTTTTTTCACATTCTATTTTTCCTAGAAGAATCTAAGTCGATGCTTACCTGTAAGCCACTACAAATCTGTCTGAACCAATTTACAAATCTAAGTGGATGCTTACCTGTAAGCCACTACACTACAAATCTGTCTGAACCAATTTACAAATCTAAGTGGATGCTTACCTGTAAGCCACTACAAATCTGTCTGAACCAATTTACAAATCTAAGTGGATGCTTACCTGCAAGCCACTACAAATCTGTCTGAACCAATTTACAAATCTAAGTGGATGCTTACCTGTAAGCCACTACAAATCTGTCTGAACCAATTTACAAATCTAAGTGGATGCTTACCTGCAAGCCACTACAAATCTGTCTGAACCAATTTACAAATCTAAGTGGATGCTTACCTGCAAGCCACTACAAATCTGTCTGAACCAATTTACAATTTGATCTTCGTTAAATGGCCTTCCACCTCGTTTTTCAATAAATTCTGACAAATCTCCACCGTCACAAAATTCAGTAACGATACACAAAGCACCCTTTTCTTGGAATGAATCTATATAAGCTATGATATTTTCATGTTTAAAATCAGACAGCAATCTGGCCTCTCTTTCAGCAGCTTCTCGCTCTTCTTGAGGAGACTTACTCAAATCAATTACTTTCATAGCATACTGAAAATAAAAATATTTTTCTTATTATGCTTGAACATCAAACATCATTTTTTTGTCATGTACTGATAATTTGCAGTATAGTAATTTGCCACAAATATACCATTAACCAAACATTTGATTGGTAGCTATTTATAAGTCAAATACATGTTGCAGATGGAAGGAAAAATAAAGTGAAGACACCAAACCAAATATATACCCTGACTTTTCACACAGGACAAAAAGGTATTAAAAACTAAGAAATGAACAGTAGTATTAATAAATCTTACAGATATCTGCCATTTTCTATATAACCCTTGAGTTGGAGTAAGAAATTTGAAATATACCAGTGATATGAAGTCTCTATCAATCAAAAATATAACTGTGGTGCTCAAAAACATTGGTACTAAGATTCAAACATATGTGTGTCAACAATAAGTGTCAGTTACATATGTCAACAATAAGTGTCATGTACATGTGTGTCAACAATAAGTGTCAGTTACATATGTCAACAATAAGTGTCATGTACATGTGTGTCAACAATAAGTGTCAGTTACATATGTCAACAATAAGTGTCATGTACATGTGTGTCAACAATAAGTGTAACATACATTTGTGTTAACAATAAGTGTCAAGTACATGTGTGTCAACAATAAGTGTCAGTTACATATGTCAACAATAAGTGTCAAGTACATGTGTGTCAACAATAAGTGTCAGTTACATATGTCAACAATAAGTGTCAAGTACATGTGTGTCAACAATAAGTGTAACATACATTTGTGTTAACAATAAGTATCACATATGGCAAAATTTGCAAAGCAGTCATATTTACTATATTTTGACAACAGCCATTTTAATAGGATTATAAATGCCTAAAAAATTTAAAAGAGGAAATATTCCCATTCGTATGTCTTATCAGCAATTTATCCCCATAATAGAGTTGAACTCTACACATTTCTTTCCTTCTGTAAGTGTACGACTTAAGATTGTCAACTTCAAAAACTTTCAGCCTTTTTAGTTTTAAAAACTGAGGTGTAACCTTTGTATAATTGCTTAATTAAATAAACCAAAATTTGTAAAATTGCAAGATCAAAGTACTAATACAGATACAAAACACATCAAAGATACATGTACTGGGGTTATAAATAGATTGTCAGACACACATTTCATCTACATGAATGTCAGACACATGTTTCATCTACATGAATGTCAGACACATGTTTCATCTACATGAATGTCAGACACACATTTCATCTACATGAATGTCAGACACACCTTTCATCTACATGAATGTCAGACACACCTTTCATCTACATGAATGTCAGACACACCTTTCATCTACATGAATGTCAGACACACGTTTCATCTACATGAATGTCAGACACACGTTTCATCTACATGAATGTCAGACACACGTTTCATCTACATGAATGTCAGACACACGTTTCATCTACATAAATGTCAGACACACGTTTCATAAATGCCAGATTGTTCATTATTTGTTTGCATAAGGAAAAACATCTTTGAGGTTGAATTTTTAAAGTAAATAACTTTTATCTCATATCTCTGTTTTCTTAACTTCTTAACCAAAATCTTTTAAAACCTTTCATGTTTCTCATCCTATAGGTTGCACTTTGTAAATACAGCTGATTTACAAACCACGCCACTTTTGGGGAGACATATAATATTCATAGATATTTTGTTTTGTTTACCTGCTGGTTCCCAGATATGATCTCTATGTTTCATTTCGTAGAGCCATAACTTGGGAATGTTACCAGTAACTATACACATGCATAGCGGTCAAATTGAAATCTGTGGAAGGGAAGGGAGGGGTAGTACAGAATTTTAGTATAAGTTTAAAATCTTTTGAAAATATGCCGCACAGCCCTATATTTTGACCTTTTAAAAAAATAGTAGTGCATATGAGCATTCCATTCTAGGATGTAATTTTTTACGAAACTTCATAGTAAAAGTGGTACAGTTTTAGCCGTAAAGGGAGTTCCTATGGGAAATTGCTTCGTCTATATTTACAGAGTTGCAACATATAAACATTCCAATTTTGAACATTTTCTCAGAATTTCCCAAATGTTTGTAATTATCTCCACAAGGAAGTTTTCTAATATTAGTTTTACAACCAGGAAGAAATAAACTTGATTATAAGTAAATCTAATAAATATTTCATAACTTTCAACCGTTAACCAAGGGAGGTTACCGTCTTTAGGTGTGTATAGTATGCACCTTTTTACCCCCAAAAGAATTTGGTAAAGGGGGTGTGTATTATACACAAATATAGATGATTTTTTATTTTTTTTATTAATAACGTTTTTTTCTTCATTATTGTATATGTTCCAGATGTTTTTTATTTTCTTTCTTTATTTGTAATTTAAAAAAGTTTGTTTTTCTTCTTTTTTGAATACACAAGTACTGGTGTGACATCCTTCTTTATTTGTAATTTTAAAAAGTTTGTTTTCCTTCTTTTTTGAATACACAAGTATTGGTGTGACATCCTGCATGAGTGAGCTTAAAATGTAATTAAGGATTAAGTATGGGTGTGTAGCCATTGAATAATCATGTCAACTTTTGACAGGTGTTCAATATAATAAGCTTAGGCAGTGCTCTAAAACAACATGATCAATGAAAAGGAAATATTGGATTAAAGAGTCATCAAATTTTAATTACTGCTAATCAACTTTGAAAATGTTCGAGGTCTAATTTCTTTTGTTTCATAACATTCTAATTATTACCTTTTTTTTTGAATATCTGAACAGAGCATCAGCTTGGACAAGCTTAGACAAACATTGATTTCAAAAGGGATTTTTATACTTTTATACTTTTTTTTTTTTTTAAATTTCTCACGATTTTGGAGGGATGTGTGTATTATACACAACCGCGTACTATACACGGCTAAATACGGTATTGATTTAAATTGATTGATTGGTTGGTGTTTAATGACACTTTTAGCACTGTTGGCTATATTGTGGTGGCCAGTTTTTATTGGTGGAGGAAGCCATAGTGCCCCGAGAGAACCATCGACCACTTATAGGAAAACTGACAATCCTATTCAATTAGGATTGGAGTTGAACGCACCTGCCACTTGTGGGATTTGAACTCACAACCTCAGTGTTGAAAGGCTAGTGATACAGTAGTTGGACTACTTAGACCACTCAGTCACAGACCTTATTGATTTAAAAGGGCAGGTCATGTGATACAAATCTCAAGAATGAAGTACCGGTACTGAACATTTTGCCATATGACATGTGATTGTTTCTAAGCCTTTACAAAAACAGGGTTTAGGAGACTGCAATCCACTGGTTCCAAGCAGGTTTCAAGAATGTGTATATAAACAAGTAGCCCACAAATAATACACATTCACATTGTATCTGTACTATCAGATGAAACAGTCACAAACGTAGTGCTCTCATCATTATTTTCAAATAGCACCATCAAATTTGAACAAAAATCGAAAGGGAGCTCACGTCAATAGATATAAACAATTCACCAAAGTTTCATGAAAACTGCTCAAAGCATTTATGAGTTATTGTCCGAAAACTGGTTAATCCCCCTTTTTTAATGAATAAAACCCAATAACTCGGAAACGAAAAATCCTAAATTTATAAAAATCGAAAGGGAGCTCACGTCAATAGATATAAACAATTCTCCAAAGTTACATGCAAATTGGTTAAAGTGTTTTTGAGTTATTGTCTGACATGTTGACAACGGACCGACGGACAGACAGACGGACGGTCATACGGACGGAAAACGGTATACCTTAATACGTCCCGTAAACAGGCGTATAAAAAGCAGTTTCCCAAAAATAATAGCACCACATTAATAATACATTCTATTATTACATTTAAGATACTATGCACCATGATGAAAAATAGAGCATGTTTATACTATGGTAATATAATGCCCTTGGGAGAACACTCCAACTTTATAGAAGTAGCCACAGACCTGTAACCAGTAAAATTAAATCTGTTTTAGCAAGTAATTATTTAAACATCAACAATAATAACACCAATAATGAAATATACAATCCACATACAGTCTTATGATGGACAAGTGGCCATAGAAAATAGGAATAAAATGCCACAAGCCTACCCGGTAGTTGTGAATTAATATTACCTTATTGAAAAGCAGCCATCAGCATCAACATTTTACATGAAAAAAAAGTGATTGAACAACTGATTATGACAGACACATTAATCTAGAGGTGAGTTAAATTTATTTTGTGAGTGCTCAGCCATCCCCTAATTACTCAATATGCCATCACAGATAAAAGCAGTCTTAACTCCCATTCCTTGATAATGCAATGAAAAGATCATGCAAATGTTACAGATTTATACTGACAAACCAACTTATACACCTCAACATTTGGACTTCAGTTCATCTTAAGGTAGATTGAGGGGGGGGGGGTCTAAATTAAAATCCATAGAATTTTTTTAATAACTTGTCAAAATGTAGCTTATATCATGCTTTTTTCAAAAATATAATAAAAAGTATGGGTCACTGGGCTTTTTTTCACGCTACAGGTTGTGCAAAATTGGCAGATTTTGTATAGATTATGCATGGAAAACCCAATTTTGTGTGATAAAAAGAAACTACACCATAGAATTTTAAGATAAAATATGAAAAGGATAGCTCTAATAATATTCTTTCAGATAAGAAAAAGAAAAAATGGGGTCACCAGACTCGTTTTCTTGCTACTTTATAAAATAGGTAAATTCAAAACACATTCTGTTATAAAAGTTACTTTATCTGAGTTATCTCCCCTTATATGGCAAAGTTGGAAAAAAATGAATCAAACAAAAATATTTTGTTTTTTTTAAAATACAGCCGTAATATGATAAAACACAAAATTTTCTATATTAACATGAAAAGTCTTACACATGAATTACATACTACTCTTGAAATTTGCACATTTCATTAAAGATCTACACCGATTGTTATCTGCTATTTCAAAATCCAAGATGGAGGAAAACACCCCAGCTACCTTAAGGAACAAAAGAACTAGAATCATATCAAAATGGTAAGACTATCTTAAATATCTTATGAAAACTGGAATTCATCATGCAAAAAATTTCAAATTTAAGAATAACAAGTTAGAGATGGAATAGTGGAGCATAACATTACCCTCCCTTTTTTCTTATTAATTCATTGCAACTGCAATCACAACAATTACAGCTCAGCAAAAACGACTGTTTCCTTCACTGAAACAGTCAACAACATGAACAAATATGAAAATACTAGTGAAATAATCTCAAGTTGTCCAACACCAAATTGAAATATATTGCTGACTAAAGCTAAATTTATTAGACAATTCAAATATTGCGCAAAATGTGGTGACCCAACATTTGGGACATGTGAAGTTATTGAAAAGGCACTATCAAAATCACTAAAATGTGGAAAAATCATAAAACCAAATATCAATAATGACCTCCAAGTCTCAAATATTGAATACTGTTCATATTGTCCTACCTGTAATTAATTCTGTCTATTCACCAAACCAATAGATTAAGTTTGCATTCAAAAACGAAAGATAGAAGATTCAGCAGTTATATATAGATATAAGAAGATGTGGTATGAGTGCCAATGAGACAACTCTCCATCCAAGTCAAAATTTATAAAAGTAAACCATTACAGGTCACAGTACGGTCTTCAACACGGAGCCTTGGCTCACACCGAACAGTAAGCTATAAAGGGCCCCAAAAATTACTAGTGTAAAACCATTCAAACGGAAAAACCAATGGACTAATCTATATAAAAAACGAGAAACGAGAAACACTTATGAACCACATCAACAAACGACAACTACTGAACATCAGATTCCTGACTTGGGACAGGTGCAAACAAATGCAGCGGGTTTAAACATTTTAATGGTACCAAACCTTCACCCTTTTTCTGAAACAATAGTGTAACATCACAACATAGAAAGATATATGTCTAGTAAAAAATTTTATTGTAGTAAATTTGGAAAAACATGGTAAAATCTTTTTTTTAACATTAGGAATGGTGACAAAAAATACAGTACAAAAGATGTTGTCAAAAAATTATACAATCAGACATCTTTTAAAGAATTGTTTTGTATGACTGATATATTCTGTAATATACAAGTACCATTACATCATACATAACATTATAACAATGATATCCACAATTTCATACTACTGTTCTAACTGGGGGTGAAGGTGAGAGTGCTAAGAGAAATGACTACAATATACTAAAAATTATGTGATTTCTGTGTTTTATCCTTATTCCCTTCAACTCTATTATCCTAGTCATCTCTTCATACACTTGCATGTTGTTTTGTGACCATGACTTTTACCTAGAATGTTTAATGTCACTCACTGTAATATTTGATTCAAGGTTGATAAGTTTGACATATATATCTCTCTTTAATTTATACAACTAAATTCATGTAAAAAAATATATTACATTTTTGTTCTAATTATGTTAAAAGAAATCTTAACACTTAGCAGTCTTCGGATGTATGACACTTAATTCATGTAAAAAATGTACTATATTTCGTCCTGAATGGTATTCAGTTTTTAATGAACAGTTTAATTAATGCAGACTTTGGGATAGATGGAGGACAAAACAGAATCCATAATCTGATGTTAATGGGAGCACTACCTGAAAATCATATGACTTTATTTTCACACAATATATTAGCTGTCATTTAACCTGGTGCACTGCTGTCTGAATCCGCACCAGGTCAAGGGTAAACCAACTTCTCCTGTTCTTTTGCAGATGTGTACCATATATTATTAAATGATATGAGCAAATCAGCCCTAATACGGATAAATCAGCATGTGCAATACTGATGACGTCGCCCTGTCGATATAAATCAAGAGTTAATATTGCTTTTCGGACAGGGCCAATACGGTAAAAAAGCCGTATTGGCCCATGGGCTAATACGGGACGTTCACTTCCGGTTTCAATTTTCTTATGCCTTACTAAACTTTGGACGTATCGTTATGCATAAAAAACATTTGTATTATATTTTTTTAACTTAAAAATCATAAAATAAAAAATTCAAATGATGTTCAGTGTTTTGTAACGTCTCGAAGTCTTGAAACAGAAAAATTTCACAGCCTTTTCGAGTACGACTTTCGATAATTGACAATGTTTCATTTCCGTTGACCAAGCATCAGAACGCAGAATAGTTAAACTGTCTGAACTATTCTTCCCAGCTACTTAATATTTGCTAGATAAAATGAATTGTAATAGCATAATATTAAGTACTTGGACGAGAAATCAGAAATTACATCTGACAATATTGACAAAAAATCCATGGACGTGAATGCGAAAAGACAAGTTCAGATATGAAATTCTGTATCTTCTTAAGTTTCTTAGTTTATTCTAATTAAAAGAATTAAAATCATTTAATAAAAGTGTTATGAACTGACTGTTTCTGTATTGGCCCTGTTATAGATTCTCAATCAGCTGTATTGGCCCTCGACTCTTCGAGTCTCGGTCCAATACAGCTAACCTCGAATCTATAACAGGGCCAATACAGAAACAGCCAGTTAATAACACTATATTATATGCAAGCCAACACTGGACATCAAGTTTATCTACTTTCACTTTTGTTCCCAGTGCATTTGTATGTGAAAAAGAAAGTAGGTAGATAATGTGAAATATAACTACTAAATCTACTGCTTGTTAACCAATTTATCTAATTAGAATACAAAAAATCTGTAAAATAATGTACCTTTTGTGATTTATCTGTTTTGTCACAACATAAAAATACTTTCCCAAAAGCCCCTTCTCCAAGAGTCTTCTCCAACTCAAACTCTATCGGACCTGCCGCAGCGGCCATTCTAATCACTATATTTTACAACGACTAAGAGTTATTACATCTACATCTGAATTGCAGCCCTCTGGATATTGTAAGATTTACTGTCAAACATTAAACAAACGAAACTCAAAACAGATTTTATGGGTCACTGAATTTTACTTCTGGGTTCACGAGAAAAAAGAGTTGTCTCCCATTAGTCACATCCAGCCAGATGGGAGACAACCCTACAAATTTTAGCTAGAGGAACTTTTGTAAATCGAAATGCTGTCATTGACTTTAAAAGAGGTTAATTTTGCATTAAAGAGTGATGTGATATCGACGACATTAAACGTCTAATATTTTAAAACCTGAGAACTCAACACACACACTTGCTAGAATACTTAAAAATGTTGAAACAAAACAAAACAAATCAGAGATTACTGTAACACATGTGTTTTAGTAATCTCAGAACAACTTCTAAACTAAGGATTTTTCTAAAGATTTCTATAAAGTCAACCATAATTTGCTCACACATAAACTTAATCACTATATGATACTGTGTAAAGCAAATGCATAACGTCACAGTACCCAAATAGCACCCATTTTAATAGCAAAAATAGCAGGGGAAATCTTACAAGTTTTCTTAGACTTAGGGCAGTGTCTGCGCGACCCCGCATGCGGGGATGAGTAGCCAAATTGGCATTCATAGGCTACACGTACCCCCATCCCGTTTAATAATTATATGTCATCGGATCAGGAATAAAACGTGAAATATACACGAAAATTATCGGTAATTTGCAGATTTTATGAATTCAGTGAAGAGAATGTTTAATTAGTATTTATTAGTTAAAAATACATAATAAACATTGCAAATTATATGCACACAGTCACTAAAGAACAAAAACTGTACAGTCCCTGTAAAGAAAACATGATAAAATTAGAAAATAAGGCGTACGATACAGTTACAGGGGAGGAAATGATGTTGCTAACATAAAATGTTATTTTTGCGACGTCAAACTGTGACATATCGGGTAAAGATGCATTTTTCGACTGATTTTTATCATTTAGACTGATTTAACTAGAAAATGAGTTCATGGACCCCTCTTTTTTAATATGACATTAGGTTTGATTACGTATGAAGATTATTTGTACCAATTTTTATGAAAAAGTTGAGGATGAAATTTTTTTAAAATAAGATAAATATACAGCAAAAAATGCTGTTTTTTTTTTCTAAAATCATGAAACTTTGAAATTATTTCCAAAGAATTTTTATACAAATTTAGAGCATACTTATGTAAAGAAGATTTTCCAAATCTTTTTACAAAAATCTTTAGAGCATACTTATGTAAAGAAGATTTTCCAAATCTTTTTACAAAAATCTGTTTGTGTTTATCTTTTGAAACAAGGGGCCTCGGTGGCTGAGTGGTCTAAGTAGTTACTACTGTAATCACTAGCCAGTCAACACTGAGGTTGTGAGTTCGAACCCCGCTCCTGCGGGTGCACTCGACTCCAATCTTAATTGACTAGGATTGTCAGTTTTTCCTATCGAAGGTCGGTGGTTTTCTCTGGGCACTCCGGCTTCCTCCACCAATAAAAATTGGCCGACACAAAATAGCCCAAAAGCTGTGCTTAAAAGTGGCGTTAAAACACCAAAAATCAAAATCAAATCTTTTGAAACAAAAAAGTTAGGTATGTCTATCCAAAGGATAGAAATGCCCAAAAAAACGAAATTTTGAGTAAATGTCTAAAATTTTCGACCCCATTTATCTCTTAAAGTAGCACTTGAAGGTATATTTTTTATAACATATTTGAATTGACTAGGTGAAAAATAGCTTGTATGCAAATTTCTTAAAAAAATCACTGTGGGATCAAAAGTGTATCGTATGTCCTTAAATGTAAATGCACATTTTAAAAGAATAAAATGATACTGAATTTGAAAAAAGCTATGTAAAAACTCGAGAGTGAAAATAATTTTCTAGTAAAATGCAAAACAGAAACAAAATTTTAAAATATCTAAAACGACTAAAAATAAATCTTGAGTGTATACATAAATTAAAGAAGCAAGTAATAAGATTAAATTCCAGTTGTATAAAAATAGATGCATTTGATAATTATACATCCATTCAGAACTCCGGATTCATCTTTTTCTACTTCTACTGTAGCACCTGAGATATAATGAAATATTTCAGGTGTTCATATATTATAGGTTAACATGAACAATGTTATGTATGATGAGTAAGTTAATTTGAATTAATTATGTGTTATATATATATGTAGGACTCTAAAGTGCGATGGTCACGCTAAAGTACGATGGTCTACGCTAAAGTGCGATGGTGTCAGACGCTAAAGTGCGATGGTTGTTTTTTTTTTTTTAAGTGCGATCAGATATCACCCTAAAGTGCGATGGTATGACACGCTAAAGTCCGATGGTGTAACGGGAATGTGGTTCAGGCAATGGTTTTCGTTTGTTGCTGAGTTCCTATTACATTTTCGTTTATTGTTTTATTTATATATCAAGCCGTAGTCTTTCTCTTTTGAATTGTTTTACACTGGTCATTTTATAACCCTATATAGCTTGTTATGCGGCATGGGCCAAGGCTTTACGTTGACGGCCGTATGATTATTAGTTGCATACATGAACGACATTTGGGGTTGGATTGATAGTTTATACTACATCTTCTTATTTTTATTTAAAGTACGATAGTTGTCCAAAAAGTGTAATGGTTAAACTGCAGTATAGTAAGTATATCTGGAATTTAGTAGAAGTCGTTTTTTAATAAAAAATAATATGTTGTGTAAGATAATGCTCCGCGTTAAAGGTCATACCTAAAGTTACATACATCAATGACATTAGGTCGTGGATAGAGAGTTGTCGTATTGGCAATCATATTTTATGATGATACTACACATCTGTTCGTCATGTTGCTGTCTAGTTGAAGTATATTCATTAACAAAAATAACAAACCATATTGTAATTTTTTTTTATAGAATTATTCAATTAGAAAGTAACTGTTTTGATTAAAGCTCTTTTTACAATTTTACAAATTAAGTTAACCTCTTCCAGCAACGACCAAAATAGTTCCAGATTGTGATCATTTGTTTCTCTCTTCTTTCTTTTCTTGTGTAATACAAATCCTTAATCTGGACAAACAATCTCGTCATAATGCTGTCGAACGTTGCTAACGTCGATACTTTTGCAGAAAAACGCACTTTAGCGTGTTCAAATGAATAGCACAGACCATCGCACTTTAGCTTATCAAACCATCGCACTTTAGCGTAGGCCATCGGACTTTAGCGTGACCATCGCGTTTTAGCGTCCCCATCGCACTTTAGAGTCCTACATATATGTATAGATAATCTATTTTATTTATATATTCGTTTTTAGAACTTAAACTGTTTTTATTTTCAGTTCAAACCCATTTTTCTATGATTCAATATGGATTCAGAATTGCATTGGTGGAACTATATAGTAAATAAGGACTCATCTACAAAATAAATACAGAATTGAAACTTTTGTCTGCATCATAAATAAACATAGGCGAAAAAACTGTCAAAATAGGTGCAATTTGGGTACCCTCACGTTAGATACAGTGCTTCTTATGTCGCAACCAATAAGTTATCCTAGAGCTTTCATGTCGATCCAGCCCAAGTTGATCCCTCCCAAAGCATTCCTTCCAGCTCCAATTAAAAAAAATATTTACAAGGGATAAAAATTATATATATATTTGAAATGTAGTTCATAAATATTAATGAATTTTACAAATAATAGCTAAGGTGGACAATCAAATATTATTCCTTTGACGCATATTCAAATATATAATTTTCATTAGATGAGACAATCATTCGAAAATATTGAATTTAATATTTTAGATATTTACATGATTTCATATCGAAATACATATATTTTTTAAATGTAAAGTATTTATATTTTAAATCAGATTATCACCTTTAATGAGTATAGGGATGATTTATTACAATTTTATTAGAAGTTATATATGAAGAATGCTGGGTGTGCATAATTATAATAAAAACATAATTTATATAACAGAAGTTAGTGCAATCATTAGTCAACATTAATCAGCAATTTTTGGGTAAAGATTGCTTGAAATGCAATCAAAACCCTATGGTACTGACTTGATATTTAAACCTTCCAAGGTTTATCTCTACTTTTGAGATACACAAAATATAGTGCATTGATCAATACATTCTAAACATCCTATCCACGAACATTTTCAGAAGTTTATCAATGAAATATATGCTCAGATATTCAAGTTACGAAATGATGTTGTACTTGTCATGAAAATTACATAACTTGTGCAAGGTGTAGGAATCTAAGATCTGTTATAAAAATATCAATGATGTCATTGTTAAAGTAATCTTTAAAATTGGAGTTATCTTCCTTTGTCCATAATTTTAGTTGAATCAACTACAACCAATGCTTTATACAATGCAATGTTTAATTTTACTTCCCACTGATAAATTAAAGCAATCTTTACCCTTCAGTGCTTACAAGCACTTTGATTCTTATGACTTGGATCAAATACAAATACAAATATTTTATTGGCACAAACTCGTGAACGATGGTTTAAAAGACCTATTGCATATATAATTATATTGATTGACATAATAGAATGAAAAGTTACATATTAATATATCATATTAACACACTATTCCTTATATTTAGACACTCTGATATGAAAGAGGAAGACAGTCTAAGTAATAATGCTGAGCTATTGTTTACCAAAAGAGATACTTATTCAGCAGTGTTAATGTTAGCTGTATTTTAAATATAATTCCACCTTATGTAATAATGCTGTATTTTGATTGGATGAGAGACATGGTATTTTTCACCAATTTCTATGTATTGAGATTTTTTTTTCTCTGCTGGTGTATTTGTCATTAGGGAATTCCATGTGCCATGGTATTTACTAGCAAATACCATGGCAGATGGGGAATACCATGTCTAAAAATAACACAATGAATTTTTTTTTTATTCTAATAGGACAACTTTAGGGTTATTCTTTATACATGCAACTCCTACAACTGTTCCAAATGAAATATTTAGGGGAAAAAAACATCATTATTAAATTTGTAGCGAATAACGTAAAAAATCCGCAAACCTGTACTTTTAATGACGTCATAAATAAAATTCAACGGAAACGCATTATCAACGTCGGAGATAT